GGCATGGTTAGTGGCGGTGAAGGTGGGTGTACGGTTAATACAAGGATAACTACGTACATGCAAACCCTGTGTGCCTCATCATCATTTCACGGCCTTGAATGCAAAGTCGGCTTACCTGGGCTGAGTTCTGAAAGAGCAAGCGCTGTGGTGGATGACCGTCAATCTCGAAAGGTCGCCACCGACCTTCCGCGATTGAGCCCTGCCAAACGCTCCATCTCGAACCGCTCCAGATCCTTACAGTTCCGGAGCTCCGAGATCACAAGAGGCGCAAGGCCGGGCTCTACGACTAGCTGAAGCAGGCCGTTGATGTCAACCTCGGCCATTCCCATTCCGCCATTCACGCGCCGAACGAAATGCAGCAGCTTCAACGCGAGCGGATTGAGGGGCGTGGCATTGCTCTGTCCGGAGATGATTGTTGGCGGCGCGGCATGACTTCCTTCGGGCCGGCTCTTAGGATGGTCACTCGTGTCAGCCGCAGGAGCTCCTGGTTGTGGTTGATGTTCATCTTCAGGAGGCCCCTCGTTCACGTCGTTGGGAGTTTTGTCAACGTGAGCTTCACGCACGCGTGGAGGACCGCTCACACTGACGGCGTTGGATGCGTTAGACGCTGTAGGTGAACCGGGAGCGCCTGGAGCGTCCGACAGAATGTCGTGGATGAATAGCAGAGCGTGAAGACCGGCGGTCGGTGCAGATCGCGTCGGCCTTGCCACGGCGGATAGTCCTTGGCAAGGGGTCCGCCGTGACTTGTGACCACCATAAACTTGGGCGTTGGGGAACCATCTGTTGCAGAACTCGCAGACGTTGCCTGGTAAAGAGCCCATGTGTTACGGATCCGTTGTAGAGTCGAGAAATCGCCTATGAAGCTACTAGCCGTGATGAAGCTTGTGAACGCATCAAGTACTCCGTTCATGAAGCCTGTGACAGCTACACGATCATCGCCAATGCGCACACTGTGTTGGGCGGCTTGTATCACTGCATGACTGACACTTGACATTGGCGCTAATGTTTATGAGTGGCTAACGATGTCGAGCCGCGTGGTCGTTACCAGGCACGATACAGACTGCCCACTTCACGGGCCGTCTTCACTACAAGGCGTGTTGCTCCCGTTTAGAGTGACCACGACGTGAGCAGAGGAGAATGCGGAGGATCTTAAGTCTCACGGTCGTGTGTGTGCGTCGCGAGCACGGTGAGAAGGACGTGCCTATTGAATCAAGAACTTGTGCTTAGGAACCGTGTGTGAGAGTCAAGGGGGATGAGGAAGAGCGGGAAGAGATCCGTTTGGATCTGTGATTGTGTTGCGAATCGATATAGGGGGGAAATCAGAATCACATAGGTGAGCTCAAGAGGCTTCAAACAAACATGGAAATGCAAATGTACAATTACAACTTAACAAGACACTCAAGTCATTCATAACTAGTAAACATTCATATCCTTAGGACTGATGTTGAACAACCCTTACTTGATAACGATACGGGAAGTACCCAATAACTCCATGCCCTAACGTATGATTGTTGCGTGGAGCGAATACCTATAGCGTGTCTTCTCTCAAGGTGTAGTGTACCTCTACGCACCGTGCTGAATGAATATGCAAGAATGGATGACAATGTCGTACAATAACACAACGGTTTCAATGTCCATGCAATGTTGGATGACAATGCAACACCATACCACAACGGATTCACCATGTCGCGCAACCCGCAGGCCTGAACGCTGCATCGTCGCACAGTCTAACCATGGCTGTCGATAACGCATCTACGCTTGTGCGTTGGGCCTGTGCTTCATACCACTCCTTCTAAGCACCTTGTTTAATGTCTGTGCAAGAATGGATGCCAATGCAACACCATACCACAACGGATTCACCATGTCGCGCAACCCACAGGCCTGACCGCTGCATCGTCGCACAGTCTAACCATGGCTGTCGATAACACATCTACGCTTGTGCGTTGGGCCTGTGCTTCATAGCACTCCTTCTAAGCACCTTGTTTAATGTCTGTGCAAGAATGGATGCCAATGCAACACCATACCACAACGGATTCACCATGTCGCACAACCCGCAGGTCTGAACGCTGCATCGTCGCACAGTCTAACCATGGCTGTCGATAACGCATCTACGCTTGTGCGTTGGGCCAGTGCTTCATACAACTCCTTCTAAGCACCTTGTTTAATGTCTGTGCAAGAATGGATGCCAATGCAACACCATACCACAACGGATTCACCATGTCGCGCAACCCGTAGGCCTGAACGCTGCATCGTCGCACAGTCTAACCATGGCTGTCGATAACGCATCTACGCTTGTGCGTTGGGCCTGTGCTTCATACCACTCCTTCTAAGCACCTTGTTTAATGTCTGTGCAAGAATGGATGACAATCCAACACCATACCATAACGGATTCACGTTTGTTACTATTGATAATCGTGTTAGAATGTCGTCCACTGGCCCTAAACCATTGTTGCAAAGCCTAAAAGTGCACAGTACATCTGTCACAAGTAATAATTTTGGACGGTCGTTGTGTGTGTGACGTAAGAATCACCGATTAACTTACCCCAACCCCGTGGTAAACCATTTGCAACTTAGAGTTTGATGAAATGCATTGTTGTATGTTTGAATAAAATTTACTGATTTATGCGTTGGCAACCGTGATTGGCCGACGCATCTCAAACGATTCCCCCGGCAACACAGTCCTCAGCCAAGAGGTACTTCAGCCATTGAGCGGCTGAGATCGAGCGGTAGGTGGGTTTATGCTAGGGTGGCTACACGTACACCATCCAATATAGCCTGATAGGGTTACATTACTCTCTCTAGTCTCGCAACCCACCCCAACCACCCTCGTGTCCCACCCACCTGCTTCCGTCACTCCCTGGACCAACACTTTGACGCTGCTCGTTGCCTTGACACATGCCTCTCCAGATCGGCCTTAGCGCGAAGCATAGTGGCTACTATGACAGATTAAGTTGAAGCGGCGGTTTTCGGAAACACATTGTCAGAATGTTATTCTTATGTTCTAGCCTGTAGTGGGGTGCTCTATAGCGAGTACAACCCTTCTAGGGTTTGCTATTTGTATCCCCATTTCTGCTAGTTCAACCCTCTTTCTTCTTCTAACTTTTGACATGCTATCAGAGCAGGTCGATCCCCTTGGATCGATCCTCTGGGTGGGCTCACCACCTCGTTGCTTCCGCTGCAACTGCTACTACTACTCTCTGTGCCGCACGCCCCGTGGCGTGCGGCATTTTTTCTTCCCGCCCTGCGCCCCGAGGTGCACGGCGGTTTTCTGCCCGCCGTGCGCCCCGAGGCGCGCGGCGGTTTTCTGCCCACCGCGCGCTCGGGGCGTGCGGCGGTTTTCTGCCCACCGTGCGCCTCGAGGCGCGCGACGGTTACCTGCTTTGCGCGGCGGTATTCTGCACGCCATGCGCTCGGGACGCGTGGCGGTTTTCTGCCCACCGCGCACCTTGGGCGCACGCGGCGGTTTCGCGTTCCGTCGACCCGCACGCCCGTCCCCGTCGACCTGCGTGCGGCTCCTCGTCGCCCTTCGCGGCGGCCCCGTCAACCCGCGCGCGGCTTCCGGTCGCCCTTCGTGGCGGCCCCGTCGACCCGCGCGCCTCCCCTGGGGACCCGTGCACCCGTCCCCGTCGACCCGCGCGTCACCCTGCGGCCCCCCTCCCCGCACACCTGAGTTCGATTACCGCACATCCGAGTTCGCTTCCCGTAAGCTTGTGCACGCTTCACGCACACCTGAGCTCGCTTACCGCACACTCAGGGTATGGGGGTGACGGGTATGGGGGTGATGGTTGTGGGGGTGTCGTTTGTGCGTGCCGTCCCCTTCTCCTCCTCCTTCGTCTCCCACTGCTGCAGCTGTCGCTGAGGGGGGTGGTTGTGTGGGAGACTCGGGTTTAGGGTTTAAGGGGGGTGCGTGGGAGTGGAGCTAGGAGCGTATCAGCGGGTGTGTGTTGGGGGAGTTGGATAGTTAGGGAAGCTGCATGGAGGTTGCCGTCGTGTCGTCAGCAGCACCTGTATTCCGGGGGCTTCGCCCGGTAGCCCAGTCGTAGCCAGCTGTGCCAGCCGCCCGTGGGTCCGTTGCTCGTCTGCCGCTACTTTAGCCGCGGGGCCAGTTACTCCAGTATTCCGGGGGCTTCGCCCGGTAGCCGCTGTGCCAGTGTGCCTCCTGTTGCCCGAGTGTCTGCAGCTTCAGCCGTCGCCTCCCAACTCCTCTCGCTCTCACTCCTCCTCCTCACTTGCCCGTTGTGACCACCACTAGCTTTGCTCATAATTGTGCACTTGAACTTACTTCTTGAACTTGTGCTCAGAATGTGTGGTGACATTGTGATCCACCCTGAGCTTGTACTGCTTTGCTTGCTCTGCTGATTACACCCCACTTTGGCTATGGGGGTGTGTCAGAATGTTATTCTTATGTTCTAGCCTGTAGTGGGGTGCTCTATAGCGAGTACAACCCTTCTAGGGTTTGCTATTTGTATCCCCATTTCTGCTAGTTCAACCCTCTTTCTTCTTCTAACTTTTGACACACATAACAGTGATAGACCGTCGATAATCCCATCGTGGGATTCAGTTGCAGAACCCTTTCAAAACCGGCTCAACCCTTCCTCGCGATTTGCAACTTTGCTTCTCCTACAATTACCATGATACGTGCAACACGTAACCAAACAATGGAGGAGGAACACGCCGGCCACTGCGCGACAAGGAGGACGTCTAAACAAATCGATAGGGAGTGTGGTGGCGGCGCTAAAAAAACTAATGCGTCCGTCGCTCGTGGCATTGGGCAGAAAAAAGCGGCGGCAAAAAAGGTCGCGCGCGGTCAACAAGAGGCCGGCAAGAAAGCGGAAGACAAGGGGCCTAAACCAACGCCACGCAAGCGTGTTTCTACAGTGAACAAAGATGCGGATGTTGCCTCTGCTGGAACCGAGCTCGGTCCAAGTAAAGACGGCACCACTGGCGGCAACGAAGATCCGAGGCGAGGGAGCGCGAGTCTTGCACTCCCGTCGGCGGAGATGGAGGGATCGGTGACGGAGGGAAATCACGGAGGCGATCCCCGCGCCGAGCATGCCGCAACCAAGGAGTCCAAGGCGGTGGCAACGCAACACCATCTGACGCTGCTCCAGCCGACCGTGGTCGAAGTTTCTACAGCTGTGCTAGATAAGGACAAGGTGGGGGAGCACGAGTCGGTGGGGCTGGTCGGTGGCTCTCCACCTTCTGGTGGACGGGGGAGGCGTAGGCAGAGGAAGAGCGATGGGGAGGACGATTATGACACCGCCGTGCCCGGGGACCTCATTACGCGGGCGAAGAGGTGGCAGACGACAGGTAGTGCTAACGGCGCCGGAGGCACGGCAGTTGGGACACCGCGAGGCGCCAAGGAAGCTAGTGGCAAGGCGGGCGGTCAAGCATTGCGCCAGAAGGGCTGACCCGCAGCAAGAAAAGCATCCGGCGGAAGGAGAGGCAAGAAAGCAGCGATGGGAACAAAGCCGAAACAGGGCGATGAAGACCCCGGTGATGCGGAGGAGGAGGAGGATGAGGAGGATGCGGAGGGAGAGGAGGATGAAGAGGAAGCGGAGGAGGATGACGCGGATGTTGGGGAGGATAAAAAAGATGAGAATGATGGCAGGGAGGACGAAGAGGAGGGGGAGGAGGAGGAGGAGGATGAGGAGGAGGAGGAGGAGGAGGAGGAGGCAGAGGAGGAGGATGAGGAGGAGGAGGAGGAGGAGGAGGAGGAGGAGGAGGAGGAGGAGGCAAAGGAGGAGGAGGAGGAGGAGGAGGAGGAGGAGGAGGAGGAGGAGGAGGAGGAGGAGGAGGAGGAGCAAGGTGACGACGAGGAGGATGTGGAGGAGGAGGAGGAGGAGGAGGCAGCGGAGGAGGAGGAGGAGCAGGAGGAGGAGGAGGAGGAGGAGGAGGAGGAGGAGGAGGAGGAGGAGGAGGAGGAGGAGGAGGAGGAGGAGGATGTGGCGCCAGTGAAGGGACGGGGCGGGCGTGGTAGACGGGTGAGTGGTACAGGGAAGGAGGGGGGCCGGACTCGCCCTTCCCGAAAACACGGGGCAGTTGACGCTGCGCGCGGCGAAGCATCAGTGTGAGAGGACGTCCCCGTTATAATATTTTCTCACTATTATATTTTTCCGTTATCCTATTCTCCCTTTTCTCCTCTTTATTTTGGTCTTTATCTCATCTCAATCGGCCTACTATTGTATTTTCTAGAGCCTTCTATTTATTTCTCTTATTTCCTACTTTTCCCACCGACATACCTATTATACGGCACCGACAGCGCCAACAATGGTGTATACGGTGTAATCTGGGCGTAATCTCAAGTGCCAATAGCCTTGCGTGCTTGTGCGCACTTGTGATTGTAGTATCGGGAAGGGCGTGTTCCCGAAGGTTCGTTTGATCTCGTTTATCCTTGTATTTTCCGAGTATAAAAATGTCTTGTATTCAGTTTTGGTGACAAGTTTCGATTGAGAATTCGATCCTGTGACACTTGGTAATCAGAGCCGTTCTCACTCGACGACTCTCGGCTAAGCAGCGGTCGCGGAAAAAATCGCCTCGAAAAACCGCCGGGGGCGACCAATTCGACGCCGATTTCTGGTAAGCACCAGTTCCGCACTTTTCGAATTAACCCCCTCGCGTGGTTTCTGAACAGGATGGGTTCGCCGGCGACCAACGACGTTACGCAGCAGCTCTTCGCGCAAATCGCCGAGATGGAAGCGGAGATGCGAGCGACGACTGAACGGTCGCGATTGGAGAACGAGCAGCTGCGAAACGAACTGCAGCGCGTTACGCAGCTCCTCTCGACCATGAACATTCCTGCTTCGACGACTTCGCAGCAGTCGCAGCGTCAGTTCGAGGTTCCGAAACTTCGCTCGCCGGAATCGTTCGACCCTAGCAATCGAAAATCCGACGTCAGGCGGTGGCTTGCGACGATGGAAATTTATTTTGCGGCGATCGGATGGTCGACGACGGAGTACGACGGCGAGAAAATTTGTCTCGCGACAACGTTGATGCGCGGTCCAGCTCTCGAGTGGCTCGGAAGCAACAGTAGCATTTTCCAGGGCGAAGCCACGTGGCAGCAGTTCCGGGCAGACCTTCTCAAACGTTTTGAGCCTATTAATTCCACTTATATTGCGCGCGAAAAATTACATCACCATAGGCAATTCGAGAGTGTCGCGCAATACACGCAGCAGATGGAGGAATTTTGTAATCGCATTCCCGACATTACCGAGGGCGAAAAAATCCAGTCCTACATCGCGGGGCTGAAAACCGACATTCGGCGCGAGGTTGCAGCAGCGAATTGCAGCAGCTACAGCGAAATCGTATTGGCCGCGGAGCGTTTTGACTTGGTCAACTCCGGAACACGACGGCCCCACGTTGTCGGATCACGACAAGGGGATCGCTCGGCTTCAACCACGATCGCCGACCCCATGGAAGTCGACAAATTCGACGCGAATTCACGACCTGCAAAAAACAAAACGTTTTGCGAATTTTGCGGCGGAAACGGACATCGGATTGTCGACTGTTTTCACATGAAATCTGCACGTGCGGCATTCCGAGCTCGTGGGAGTGACAAAACTAAAGACAAAAAGTCAAAAAACGGATCTCGCCAGTTATTGCGGATCGTGCTAGCGAGGAAAAGCAGATCCGAAAGCGTCAGCGCAATCTGGACCGAATCGAAATTGAAGGACAGCATTGGGCGCGAGATTTGGAGAATCAAGGGCGAAATCCCAAGCCCCTTGACCGAAATTTGTCAGAGGGATTCGCCGAGGAAAAGAAAACTGTCAGAGGTCCACTGGTAATCCCCGATTGATCCTAGGGAAGGGTTACAGGCACGTTGGCCTGGGGGGTTATGGGCGCACTGACCCGCTACTTAACAAGCCCTTTTATCCCAATGGTATAGTGGTTGGGATTCTGACATGGTATCAGAGCGAAGGTCTCGGGTTCGATTCCCGGTGTATGCACTTCGGGCATCCCAGTGCGGGGGGGTGTCAGAGGTCCACTGGTAATCCCCGATTGATCCTAGGGAAGGGTTACAGGCACGTTGGCCTGGGGGGTTATGGGCGCACTGACCCGCTACTTAACAAGCCCTTTTATCCCAATGGTCTAGTGGTTGGGATTCTGACAAAAACCTTTGCGAAAACATACTCGACCAAGACGGGAACTCTCCAATTCGACCCCGGAAAAAAACAGAATTCGTTAAAGTTATCTTTCAAAGATGCTTTAATGAAGACTGGTCATTTTAGCGGGTCCGGAGCCATAAAAAATTCCGGGAAGAACTCCAGAGGAAGCCGACAATTAAAGAAGTGGTACCGGTGCCTACGGAGCTGGGGAAAAAATTAAGGAGTGTGGAAAGGAGTAGACCCTTTCACGGCGTCAACGTCCTCTCCCGGAACCAGCCCAAGACGACTCTCCACTCCCCAGGGAAGAAGTCTATGGAGCTGAAGCAGCTGAAGAGGCAGCTGGGAGTTCAAAAGAAGCTGCGGAAACTCCGAAAACCCCTCCAGGATGCATCCAGTGGATCGCAGGCGTCGACCGGATCCACCCCCTCAGGGTCAACCTGTATGGTTACTACCTCTACTCCTGGCGTTGGAGAGGAGCTTTTCTCCACGCAGCCCAGGCCAGCTGGTTGTCCAGGAGCAAACAGTGGAACCACGGTGTGTACTAAATATTGGGATGTACCCTATGATCCTATTAATGAGACTATTTTTGGGTACTCCGAGCAACGCTCACCACTCCTGCTCGAGGTGATCTGCAACGGACATCGCCTCCAAGCACTCGTGGACAGCGGGGCGTCGCACAGCGCCTATGACAAAAAGGCAATCGATCGACTCGGAGGTGAAATCAAGTCCTCAAGCTTCTCTGCAACGATGGTGGATGGCAGTAAGCTACCTATCTACGGGGAAACACGGTTACTACTCCAGATTGGACCCCTTCGATGAAAGCCTGCTCTCCCCGTCACAAATATCAAAGGACTCGACGTAATCTTCGGGAGAGACTTTCTTAAAAAGTTCAACCCCGAGATCAACTGGGTTAACCAGACGGCCAACATCAACAACAACGGGAGAAAAATCAGCCTTCCCAAATGGGATGACACGGGAAATATTCCTGTCGAGACACTCGCACGCTTTGAAAAGGACGTCAAACGGACCACGGCGGGATTCATGGCGATAGTCAACGAAGCAGACAACGGAGAGAAGTAGGTCCAGGAACTTCCTCCAGCAGTCAAGAAAATTCTTGAAGAGTTCCAGGACGTTCTCCCCGACGATTTACCTGATCAACTACCGCCATACCGAACACATCAACACGAGATTGTAGAAGAGCCGGGGTCCAAGCCAAGGTTCCGAGCACCATACCGGCTGAGCCCGACAGAGCTTGCCGATATGAAAAAACAAATAGAGTATCTCTTGGAGAAAGGGCTGATTCGACCTTCGACTTCGCCGTACGGAGCTCCAGTACTGTTCGCTCCGAAGCCAGACGGAAGTCTGCGAATGTGCATCGACTACCAAGCGTTGAACAAGCAGACTGTAAAAAATAAATACCCGATACCACGGATCGACGACTTACTCAATCAACTTCGCGGTGCTACGGCATTCTCCAAGCTCGACCTTAGATCGGGATACTGGCAAATTCGTATGGCGGACAACTCTATCCACAAAACCGCCTTTCGAACTCGATATGGGTCATACGAGTATCTCGTGATGCCGTTCGGACTCACTAACGCACTAGCCACATTTCAGGCCACATCCTTCGGCCCCTTCTGGACGAGTGTGTGGTGGTATATTTGGACGATATCTTGATCTACTCGAAAGACATGAAGAAGCACGTTGAGCATCTGCGATGAGTGTTTGAAATTCTTCGACGAGAATGCTTCTACGTGAAACTATCCAAGAGCAAGTTTGCGTTGGAAAAAGTCCAGTTCCTTGGACATATGGTGAGTGCTCAAGGAGTTCACGTGGATCCTCAGAAGATCGAAGCAGTGCGAACGTGGAAGACCCCTGAGAACGTGAAGGAGTTACAGCAGTTCCTTGGATTCGCCAACTACTACAACCGGTTCGTACCGAACTAAGCCAAGATTGCCGCACCATTAACGAACCTGTTGAAGAAGAATACACCATATCAACGGGAGGCGAAGCACCAGGAAGTCGTGGAACAACTTAAAACCGCACTCATGTCCGCACCTGTCCTTATCCTACCAGACCCTGAACTTGACTATGTCATCGAGGCCGATGCTAGCGATCAAGCAGTGGGCGCAGTACTCATGCAGGATCAAGGGAAGGGACTGCAACCCATTGCATACCTCAGTAAAAAACTTCACGGGGCAGAACTCAATCACCCCATCCATGACAAAGAGGCCCTCGCCATCGTCAACGCATTTAAGGCATGGAGGTGTTATCTCGAAGGAAGAAAAACGACCGTCTACACCGACCACTGCAGCCTCAAGTATCTGAAGACCCAACCAACACTCTCCAGGCGGCAGGTCCGGTGGATTGACTTTCTCGAAACCCACTTCCATTACGACATCGTGTATAAGCCGGGGCACAAGAACAAGGCAGACGCACTCAGTCGCCCTGCACGCGTTGCCGCCCTACAAGTCGATGGCATGAACCCACTTATGAAGGGACTCTTCACGCATGGATACACCATCGACCCCGAAGTCTCTGTAGCAGAAAAGCGCCATCTTCTACATTGGGATCAAGACATCGCATACCGCAAGGGATCCACAAAAATATGGGTACCTAATTACCCTCCTTTACGCCAGTTACTGCTCGAAGAATATCATGATGTTCTCTACGCGGGCCACTTCGGTAGTAACAAGACGCTTGCCAGTATTGCGAAGCATTATAATTGGCCCCACATGGCGGATGACGTACAAAAATTCGTCACCTCGTGCGACACATGCCAACGGATGAAGAGCAGCAAACAGAAGAAAGCAGGGTTACTACAGCCTCTTCCAGTCCCTGAACAGCCTTGGCAAGTGGTTAGCCTCGACTTCATCACCGGGTTACCACCTACCAAAGCTGGTTACGACGCCATTCTAGTCGTCATCGACAAATTCTCCAAAATGGGACACTTCATTCTGACACACACA